GCACATTCTGGCGCCCAAACCATTCCCCAGTGAGAAATGAGGGGACGCATTGGTGTTCTCACTTTCTCCCTACAAAGCGCCACCATTTCTTTCCTCCTGTTATGGCTCCTATTTAGATGGCTTATGCACTTACAGGTAGGGCTTTTTCAGAGGTGGGTGGGTCTGGAGTGTGTGATGCTGGAATTGATGTGATATTAAGATTAAGGTGTTAGTACTGTCTGTCTTAAGTAGTCTAGATAAAAAATAAGGGATAAGGCCTGGGGATAAAGCTCAGTGGCACAAGCACTTGCCTGGCAAGTGTAAGGTCCTGAGTTCAAATCCCAGTGCCAAAACAAAAAAACAAAAAAACAAAACCTCAATGAGATAAGAAATAAGGGATAGAAAGTACTGCGGTCACTACTTGCTGTTTTGATACTTTTTGCCTGCCATGAACTGTTTTTCTTCTGTGATTCCTGTCTGTCATGTCACCATGTCTTGGAGCCAGCTGATTATAGAATAAAACATCCATAAACTCTGAGATAAATAAACCTTTTTTCTCTTAACTTGTGGATGTTGAGTATTTTGTCTCAGCACTGAGAAAAAAAAATAACTAAGACAGAATTTGGTTCCAGGGAAGTGGGGTCATTGCTGTGACTATACGTGACAATGTGGGTCAGAAGTCTTTGGGACTGGTTGTGGGAAGGGTTTTGAAAGGTTCAGCTGAAAAAGAAGAGCTGGAACATCTTAGGCTGTCTTTCATGGGAGATTCTGGTGAGAGTTCATAAGACCAGAAGGCTGATAAAAATCCTGCATGTAAAGATCAGGCTCAGGAAGTTTCTGCTGGGAAAAACTGCATTGGTTGTTGGACTCCAAATGATGTGTATTATACCTTGGCAGAAAGTTTGTCTGCATTTTGCTTGTATACAGAGACTTTGCCTGAGACTAAGATTAAGGGTAGTGGACTAATTATTCTTGCAAAAAAATTTTTCAAGGAAGTCTAATGTTGAGGTGGTGGCATGGCTACTGTTGGGGGCTTTTAGCCAGATTAATTTGAGAATCAAGAGCAAAGAGTCCAACAGAATGATTCAAAATGTTATGAGTTTGGCCAGAAAGGAAGCTCTAGTAAAGCTGTGGACTGCAAAGATGAAAGAGAGGAAAAATTGTTTCTAAAAAGGCTAGCAAGAAAAAGCCAAATATTTCAAAAAAAGACAACAGAAAAGATGGCTTGAGGGCACCACAAAAAGCAGAAGGACTCCACCCTTATCAGCCTCAAATTTGCAAAAGTAAAAGACTTTGCTTTGATAAGGGAGACTGAGAGCACCAAGCATCATGTTCCAGAATGGCGGTGGCCTAGGAAAGTTGTTCCTCCAAATTTAGTTCATACGCACTGGACCCCTACAGCCAAGAGAGAAGGAACCTGCCTACTGTTCCAGCTGGTGGCAGATCTTAGTGTCATCCATGTGGTGCTGGTTTTAGGTGCATGCTGAATGGAAGACTTGTGAGGACAAGAAGGTTTCCATCCAGATTTCAGAAGAAGGCGTGGGAGCCCAGGCAGTATGCCTCTGAGAGGTCAATGTGTAAAGCTGTGTGTGTGAAGCCAAAGGTGCAGTAGAGACCCCAAAGTGTTAGAAGAAGCCAAGAACATAGATTGTCCAAGGAAATTTGCAGGGAGTAAGCAAAACCAGCCAAAGAAAGAGCTTTGGCTTTTAGCCATGAGAGCTAAAACCACCAGAAGTGCCATAAGGGCAGAGCCACCTAAGCCCACTGGAGTTCACAACTTGTAAAAGATTACCAAGGATGCTAAAAGTAGAATTGTGGGATTTAATGTGTGCCCTGGCAGATCTTGGTCTTTCTTTGTTTCTATTCCTTGTTATCCCCATTTATGACTTTTAAAATAAAAATGTCTATCTTGTGCCATTAAATGTTAAAAGTGTTTAACTTTCTTTTCATTGATACAGCTAAGATTTTATGTTAAATCTCAGAGAAGATTTTAGATTACACTTTTCAACAATGCTAAAACTGTCAACACTGTGGTAACTCTTAAAGATAGACTAAAAGCCTTTTAGTAAATGCCTTTTACTAAATGCCCCCTTAAGTATTCAGGGATACCACGGGCAGAATGTTATGGCTTGTGTGTAGAAAGCCTCATATGGTCAGAGATGGGGCTTTTCCAGAGGTAGCTGGATCTAGCGTTTGACATTGTAATTGATATGATACAATACTAAGATGAAGGGCACCAAGATTAAGGGTGTGAGCGCTACCTGTCTGCTCGAAGTAGCCTAGATAAGACATAAGGGATAGAAAGAGCTGTGGTTGCTCCTTCTGCCCACCATGAACTGTTTCTCCTCTGTGATGTCACTCTGCCATGCCACCTTGCTTTGAGCCAGTTGATTACAGATTAAAACCTCTATAAACTTTTTTTCTCTTAATTTGTGGGTGTTGGCTATTTTGTCTCAGCAATGAGAAAAAAAGTAACTAAGACATCTCCTCTCTCTTTTCTCTTATTCCTGTAGTAGGCAGAACAGTGACCTCCAAGATGTCCATTCCCTGATGGGGATGTGAATGTAGTCTCTTGCATGGCAAAGGAGCTTGCAGATGTGATTAAATCAAGGCGCTCCAGAGGAGGACACAATACCTGATTATCAGGTAGGCTCTGCATGGGTCCTTATGAGAGGGAGGCAGGAGAGTCAAGGTCAGTGGAGATGTCCCGGTCACAGAAGCAGAGGTCAGAGGGGCAACGAGAAGATGCTACCTGACTGGCCCTGAAGACGGAGGAAGCCACAGGAGACAGCCAACATCTAGGAGCCGCAAAGGACAAGGAAAGGGATTCTCCCCTACAGCTCTGCTGACCCCTTGATGAGAGCCTGGTGAGGCCCTCAGAACTGTATGGTAACACATTTGAGTTGTTTTAAGTCTCTAAGTTCGTATTTGTTACAGAAGCAACAGAGAACTAATACAGCTTCCCAACATTACAGCATGTCAGACAGGGGAGTGGGATGTGTGCAAGGGGAGCTCTGCCCGGCTCCCTCCTCGTGCTCCTCCCCTCCCCCACCCAATCTGGCCCTGGTCTTGACCCTGCTTGGACCAGCACCTGTCAGTCTATCTCACCTTAAACTGCCAATGTACTTCCTTCTAACAATACCCCTCATTCCCGGGTAACAGTTTCACCACAGGTCACAGATAGAGTCTTCCCCTTCTCCTTTGCCCCCTCCTCCTTCCCAGGACGCAGGGAGGGAGGACATTCTAATCTAAACCCCAGCATTCATAGAAGCTCATCTGAAAACCCATGTTAGAGGCATTTGGCCCAACATCCTGGGAAGAAAAGAGTCCACTGGCACAATCAGCATGGGAAACATGTGCTACGCATTATGCCCAGGCCCTTGCTTTCGGTACAAACTGAGAGACTCCATGCATGTCCCAAAGGACAAAGACTCAGATTCATGACCTGAAGTATGTGACCTTTAAAAAAATACCCACACCTGCGTCTTGCCCTGGTCATGACAAGAATCAAGATAAATACCAGGCTCCAAATTTCCTCTTACAAAATAATTGTGGTATCATTGTTCACCCTTGACTTGGTACCTCACATGTTTTAACAGAAGTGCTTGCGTGGCTGTTCGAATGAGGACTGCCAGGGACACGACAGCTTAAAGGGACAGAGTAAGAAGTAGGCAGGGGGGTTGGTGGTGCCAGCCACTCACGGCAGCAGGCACACCATCACCCTACCAGTAATGTGTGACTGGGCCAGAAAGCTAGCCACAAGTCACTCAGAGGACGTGAATTTTCTAAAACTTCCCTTGTTAAGACTTAGCTGAGGGGCTGGGGATTTAGCTCAGCGGCAAAGCGCCTGCCTGGCAAGCGCAAGGTCGTGAGTTCGGTTCCCGGTACCGGAGAAAAACCAAAACAAAACAAAAAAAAAAAGACTTAGCTGAAAACATCTCACATCTTCTCAGAGAAGATCTGGGCCTTGTCAGTTCTGGTACAGAGGAAAATCTAATAATCATGGGTCAAACTGAAAAAGTAAGCAATGCTGTCTTGGTTACTTTTCTCTTGTTGCCGAGACAGAATACCTGACACCCAGAATGAAGGAAGGAAAGGTTTCACAGCTCACAGTTTGTGGAGGTTTCAGCCCATAATCAGCTGGCAAGATGGCATGACCCAGGGACAACAGTTCAAGGTGGCAGAAGACAGCAAAAGCAACAAGTGCGTAAGAGGGTGGAACAAGCCTCTTTTCCTCCCTCATACTGTATGCCAGCTATCCGCCGACGCCTACATGATCTCCGTGGCTTCCTCTTCCACAAACTCAGGCTGTTTACAAAGTAAGGACCCTGACCCTCCACTGAGTTAAATTTCTAAACTTCTCAAGTTGACACAATATATCAACCATTACAAATGCTGACACGGAGACCTTTTGGGGGAACCAGGATCTCAGAGGAAGCTGTCAGCAGCTCCTTCTTGTATCTTGCATGCTTCAAAACACACATATAGGAAAGAAGTCAATCACAAAAGGACAATTGCTACATGATTCTATTTCATACGATGTATTTAAGAGCAGTAAATTCATAAAGAGAAAGTACGATGGTGGTTGCCCAGGGCTAGGAATGGGGAGTTCTTGTTTCATGGTGAGTTTGAACTTGGAAAGAAGGGTTCTTTTTTTTCACTATTCTCTTTAAAATAATAAAAAAGAGAGAAACTTCTAAAGATGGATGGTGCTCATGGTTGCACACAGCACTTACTGCCACTGAACTGTACATTCATTAATGGTTAAAATGATAGTTTCTGCTATAATTATTTTACATTAAAACCCTGTAAACACACATGCACACAACTGTTGTTTATGCCACTGACTCTCAGCACGAACACCTGGTGGGTCCTTTCATTAGTTGTAAAGAATCAGACAGAGGAACAGGCAACCTGTGTGGCTTCTGGCACCAGAAGCCACCAGCCCCGCCCTCCGGACTCGTGAGTGTCCACTGCACCCGCAAGGGGGCTTCTTGGAGTGGCAGGAGTGGGGAGCCTACCTTGTTTGGAAGTGGTTCTGGAGGTCGCAGCGCTGCAGCACCTCAGAACAGTGCTCCGTGAAAGGGCAAGTCACCAGCAGCTTGTTGAGGAGCTTGTTGACCAGGATGCTGGACTTCTTGCAGTGCTGCAGGACAATGGGCTTGCGGTCCACGGGGCAAAAGTCCTTCACCACCAGGAAGTTAGTGAGGCAGAGGCTGCAGTAGGTGTGTCCACACGGGGTGTCCAGGGGCTGCAGGAAGGCCTGTAGGCAGATGTGGCATATGAGGTCATCATCCACATCTTCCACGTAGGTGTAGCAGTGGTTCTCTTCGGGGGTGTGGACTTGGCCACATACCACACACAGGGGGTTAGCCCTCGGATCTGGGTCATCGGCAGGGTCTGGCTGGTTCATGGTTGCCTAGAAACAGTTTGACAGGAGGCCCAGGAAAATGATATTCCTTCAGGAGGAAGTCAAGACCTTCCAGGAGCTACCTGCAAATGTAACAGAACAAGATGACTTATCTCTGCCTCACGGCACACAGAAGAATTATCCTGGCATCAGCAGGAACAGTGCTGCCAAGGGACAGTGGACGGAGCTATGGCTCCGACAGTCCGGGATTAGCGTTCACTCTGGAGTGACTTTGGCTCAATGTGTCCAGCTTTGCCCCTCATTTGAAAGGGAGCAGTGTTTACCTAAACATCTTCATGTTGGTGTGGTGAAATCATTTAAGTAATATCTGTGAAATGCTGTGAGCAACTCAAGAAAAATGTGCTCAAAGAAATGTAATTTGTTAATCAAATTAAATAGGTATGTGACCTATGTGTGTAAAATTCCATCAGATCAGACAAAGGAAAGAAAAGTTAACACTCTAATGGCTCCTTCTACCTCATCTTTCTTCTCCAAAAATCAGGAATGAGAAATTGTAGGACATCAGAGCCTTCAACCAAATCATAAGAGGAGAGACAAGAGTCACTGGGGCTTCTGTATTCTTACTATGGTCAGAGCACTGTTTTCTTATGCATGTATTTCATGCAGCCAGTTGCTTATCCATCATTGGCTCAGTGTGCTCTGCCCCGGGTTCAAATCCCACCACCATCATTGTGGGCCAATGATTTCAGCTCCTGATTCCACATCTGCAAAGTGGAGATAATAAAAGGCGACTTTGTAGGACTGATGTGAAGACGAAATGACATGTGACAGAAAGTTCTTAGATTTGTGCTCACCATTTATTTTTTACTATTTGTTTGTTTATTTATGGTACTAACTGGTACTGAACCCAGGATCTTTGCACACATTATGCAAGATCTCTGTCCCCGAGTTACTACCCCAATCCTTTTGGAGACAGAGTCTTGCAAAGTTGCCCTGGGCAGCCTTAAACTTTTGATCCTCCTCTAAGTAGCTGGGGCTGTAGTTGTGACCATTACACCTGGTGCCCTGCACTTACTAACTGTGCAATGAGTAGTCGTTACTATCTTCACATGTATTTGTTGTAGAATTTTGTTTTCAGTCTAGCTCCATTGGCTGGGAAACTTAAAGACCTAATTTCTAGAAGGGGTCTTTTAACTTTGTTCTAATAGTGCTGTTTTATTGCTTACAAATTTCTTTCGAATCAGTAGAACACTACCGCTATATCTCTGCTGTCGATAGGAGTCTAAAATAGTGGAGCTCTTAAACATATTTGACTTACATCTAGGAAGGCTCTCAGATAGTCAGTCAATAAATATCTTTCAAGCAGCAGCAGTGAGGCAGGTAGTGGGCTGAAGTGGGATCCTCTGAGGGCGCCATGAGAGTTGTGCCTCTGCTCTCTCAGAGGACCCCCAGCCCCGGAGGAGGTGTACATTACACAACTAAGCAGGGGCCCAGGTGAGCAGCGCTGGGTCAGTCCTCATGATGAGTAAAAATCCTGCCTCCTCCTCACCCTGACTCAACTTTCTTCTTTTCCAAAAGCAAATAAGAAGATCTTATGCTTTCCACAAGAACGTGAATCACATAACAGGAAACTAGCCACATGTGGAAACAGCATGGCAGTCATAAACTGTGCTACATCTTTTTTCTCTTTTCCAAATAAAGTCTGAGGTTGTTTGTACAAACACAGCCTTATCTCAAAAAAAAATACATCAACTTCGAACTTTCATTGAGTCAGCTCCAGTGTTTACATTGCTGTACTGTGCGGGTGCGCCTGGAAGAGCACTCTGGAGGAGGAGCTGAGGTTAATGGTTGAATGTGAAAACACTTAGAAATCACAGCGTCTTACTCAGCACCAGACAGGACCACAGAAGCCAAAGGTAAAGGGCACGGGGAGGGGTGAAGGGGTTTCCATGGAGAACTACACAGTTGCTATTTGTCTTCCAGTCTGATGGAAGGTACTGGAACCTCACAGGAAATGCTTTCATTAATGCCATAATCAAGAAAATGGAATCAGGCCACCCGAAAGGTTGTCACCCACTATGGGGGAAGGAAAAGGGTTCATATGTGGTGAACTGAAGTCAGGCCAGTGGTGGCAGCCCACGGCACACTTGCTGCAGCATGCTGTGTGTGGCGCTGAGAGCTGTCAAAGGTTCGCCATCCCTGCTGTAGGTCTTACGGTTTCCTCTGGAAGAGTTTGTCGTGTAGCCCCCGTGTGCTCCCGGTAACACCGAAAACACGCTTCTGAGTCTTTCCCGTCCCAGATTTTGGGTTCTCAAGCTGTGTTCTAGAAGGTAACAGATGCCTCACAGTCTCCACGGAAGCGAAGGAAGGAGGAGACGGGGCGCATCCCTGCTCACTTGCTATTGCTTGGAGGGCTCCCAAAGGCCACATGCTAAGGGCTTGGCCCCCAGGGTGGTGATGCTGAGAGGTGGGACCGGGCGGGAAGTCCTTGGGGATGAGTCCTGGAAAGGAATTGTGGGACCTGGGCGCTCAGTCTCTCTCTGTTTCCTGGCTCATGAAATGATCAGATTTCCTCTGCCACACCCTCCTGCCATGAGCTACCCGCCCTGCCAGAGGCCCAGAGCAAAGGGACCATCTGACCTTGGACTAGAATCTCCAGAATCAAAAATCAAACTAAACTTCTGTTTTTATGAGTCAACGGCCTCAAGTATTTCATGATAGTAATAGGAAGCTAATATATTACCTCTTTTGCAACCAGTCCCACGACTGTATTCATTTCATTGACCCCTCAGGTTCCTCATAATGTTACACTCAAGAAACCTTAGCTAAACAAAAAGAAGAAACTGTAAACGACCAGAATAAGCCACATGAGATCTCTTCCACAAGTAGAGTTCTATGACCTGTGCTAATTAAGAGGAATGTTTTTGTTTTGTTTTTGATGGTTGCAGGTTTAGAAATATTCTTTTTTTTCTTTACTTCCTAATAGCTTCTTGAGCACTTGCCATGTGCCAGGCAACATGTTAGGAGTTGATAGTACATCATTTAATCCTCTCAACACCCAAAGGCCTGATTTGCTTTTAATTGAACTGATGAGGAAACTGTTTAATTTAACTCTCCAGCCACACCGAAGCACAGACCAACCAGGCAGGGCTGTCCGGTGCTACTTTTTGCACTGCAGCATTCCAGACCCCGTCTCCTTGTATCTTTCTTGACTATAGGAGTCAGAATGCCTATTGTGCAATAATCCAATACAAAATTCCAGGGAAATCAGAAGGTTTAAAACATCTCTTTGGGTCCCCTTTCAAGTAAATATGTTGAAGATGGGGGTGGGGCTCAGGACTCTCTGAGCACTGCGTTGCCTGAGGCAGACCCTGAGGAACCGGCCAGCCCAGCGCAGGGCGGGCTTCCGCCCCAACCCCAGCTCTTCTCCTTTCCCTTTTCTTCCTTTTCTCCTTCCTCTTTCCCTCCCTTTCTCTCTTTCTGTATCTGAGGCCAGTTTCAATTCTCTGGCACTTACCCACGTAGTAAACCAATTTCTTAATGTATTGTTAATGTAAACACTGCTGTATATATTTTCTAAATTTACTTTAGACTAAATAAAGCCTATGTGAATAAAAACAGATTGTGAGCAGATTGACTGAACACGCAGTTTGGCTTCTAAAGCAAAGATTTTTGAAAATATGATTAATGTCATTTACCTGGCAGTTCTTTCCAGCGCCTATCTTATAAACACATACGATGCACTGTGCTGTTAGGACGCGGCCAGGCCTCGCTACCGAGCTGAGAAGAAAGGACCCAAACCCACTGACTTAACAGGTCAGCTATTCTCTCCCCTAGAAAGCTCGAGAGGACCCGCCGGCTCTGAGGTCCCTGGCTCAGGGTCCGCAGCAGCCTTCCGGGCCTGGCTGCTGGAAGCGGGAGAGCTGTGATGAGGCTTTTGTGCACGATACCGCACAAAAGCGGAAAAGCGGGCTCCTTCCCTGGGCGTGCCAGGGGAGGCACTGAGACGACCCGCCGCTCTGTTCTAACTTAGACGCCCGAGTTAAATTTCAGAGATACGGATCACCAGAACTGCCAACACAGCGCCAACAAAACTCCAGGAGAAATAGAGATCTCCATCTCAGTTTGTCCACCGTCTCCGCTCTCCCTCCCGCTGCTTTCTGGTCCGGCCTAGACAGACGCTGCTGCGTGTGGTTTTCAGACTCTGCACCGCCCGGCTGCCTCGGCCTGCCTTCTACTGCGGTAACAGAACACCGCGGACCAGGAAGCCCGGGAGCACGCGGGACTCGCTGGCGAAGGCCTCCGGGCACAGCCTAGCAAGCCGAAGGGCACGTGAGCTCCGGGGCACTGAACCTCAAACTGCTGCAACTAACCGCCCCAGTCTAGAGCCTCCGTCCACGGGGGAGGGCAGAACCCTGGGCACCTCACCCCCCTCACCACTGTCACAGCTGCACAACTCAACGCGCGCTGTAGAGAGACCTCCAAACCATAGCACTGGCTGACAACAAAATACAGACTAGGGCGAAAAGCTGCCTGCTGACCCAAGAGGAGCTTGGGCGATCTCATGTGTACCAGCACCCGCACTACACAGCCTTCAGAACAGTGCTTGGAAGACAGTCGTGTGGCAACAGCAAAGTTTCCGGGTAGGATGACCTGTGAGGACAAAGGAGTCCCCAGCTTGCTACTGCCTCCCTTCCGAGCAGAGCTTTACGGAAAATGGTCGTGTGATGCAGTCGTCACAGTATACTGTACAGGAAGAGCAACTGGACAAGCACACCATTTGGTACGCTGCCCTGGCAGTGTTTCCTCCTATTAAAGAACCAGGTTTGACCCTAAATCAGCTCTTAGAAGTGTCTGAGTCAACAGTTTCCTAACAATGGTAAGGGGATTCCCTGGGACTGAAAAGAATGCAGGATGAGTGTGCAGCTCAGCGGCAGAACACTTGCTCAGCCCGCGCAAGGCCCTGGGTTCCAACCCAGCACCGCAAAAGCAAATTAAAAAGATGAACACACAACTGAACAAAAATAAAAGGAATCTATCCACCTTACTGATGGCTGTGGGTTTCAGTGGTATTTTAACCTTGTCAAAGATGAAACACCGTAGCCACAGACTCTGAACTGAA